ACTTCTTGATGACGAAGGAATTGCAGTAGGGGCATTCCAGCTCCTTGGTGGCAGCAATGATCTTGGGATCCCATAGCTTGTTCTTCAGCAGGTCGAGCAAAACCTCGGTTCTGGGATGACCGAGATTGCGATGAAGCCTGTAGACAACGTAAGATCCCGGTGAGTTGATCATCTTGGCCTGTGGCGTAGACTTGTTCCGGCAGTCCTTCATCGACCATGATGGCCTCAGCAATGTGCTTGGCCATGAGCTGTGGGTAGTTCTCAACTTCTCGACACCGTTGGCCACCTTCAAGAGGATGGTGGCGATGATTGCCTTGGCATCGTTTGGATATCTGCCAAATCATGGCTTGTTTGGTTGTCCTAAGAGTTGTGGTCTTCTTGATAGGCTGCCAGTCACCTTGGTCTGTCCACGTTGTGGCTCCATAGGCGCATTGGTCGAAGGTCACTTTCATGCCTGGCAGGGACTTGAATGCTGGTGCGTCCCAAGCCTTGGATGGGGTTGGGTGCTCAATGTGAGCGTGTCTGCCGTTTCGAGCTTGTTGTACATAAAGTCGTTTGCAGAATTTGACATGAATCTCATGGTCTTGCCATTGTTTTTCCTGCAAATCACGAGCATCTTCATCGGTCCTGATGTTGATGTTCTGCATGGGGCTCCAAAGTGTGCATTTGGGATTCAGAAAGATTTCATCGGGCTCCAATTCATAATGGAGGTCAAGTAGGACTCGACGATGTTTTGCCTTGGAGAAGTCCCATCCATCTTCGAGACCAAATCGCATGACCTCTGCGCCGCGTTTGCGCATTCTTCTGACACTCGTCCTCTGTAGACTTCCCATACCAGCTTCTTTCTCCTTGCTTCCGGTCTGGCCTTGTAAAGAATTTGTCGATGTTTCTTCCTGAGCTCACGGAGTTGGAGTTTATTGCACGCAAAGAGTCGTTCCAGGCTCTCCGTTGACTTCTCAATGTCCTCCTTTTTCTCAAGCTCCGTCTCTTCATTGGCCAGGCCTTCAACTTGCGTTTTCATCTCTTCATAGCACTCCTCAGCATTGAGATCTTTGAGGAACTCTTCGAAGGGAATTGATTGTCCATGATCATCTTCGCTTCTCAAATCTCAAATCGTGGATTGTCCAGCTGTTCAACCTCTTGGAGGCGTTGGCAAAGCGACAAAAGCATGGCTCCCCTGCTTGCCTCGGTCGATCTCTTCCCAAGGGCCATCCATGATCTTCATCTTGTTGCCACCAAAATCGACCACGGCCTGAAGCTTCTCTAAGATTGGCCTTCCAAACAACATGGGAGTGGCACCAAAGATCATATAGGCCTAGATTCGGCCTGGCACACCTTCCAATAAGACAGGGATGGAGATCATCCAGCGAACGTGTCCTTCAGCATCTCCATCAAACCTGAAAAGCTTGTCACATTGCTTTCATTCCAGCTGAAACAAATCGAATCCTTTGGAGACCAACCAACGGATGTAACGAAGGAGGTATTCTGCGCCCATCAGAAAGTTGCTTGCACCCTGGTCTTGGATCATTGTGTCTGGCCTGTCGGGGAGCCATCCACCGGTTCGAACAAGCTGTTCGCCTTGTGCATAGGCGTCTTCTGCATCAAAGAATTCGGTCTCCTCGATGCAATTTTCAAGCTGCATGGATTCCTGATGTAATACCATCGCAGCCAACGATGGGTCACCATCCTCAAGCATTCGCTTCTTGGCTGGTAATGAACTCTTCGATTGGTTGGCGGCAAAATGATCGACCTTGCCCTGAGATATGTCCCGCTCTCCGGCATGCCTGTCATTGCATCCTTGGTTCTTGCCTTTCCAATAGGGCCTTTTCCACTTGTGGATGAGGTCGAAGATTTGCTTTTGGATTTCTTCCCTTTTCCTTTCTTTCCTGAGGGCGATGGCGAAGTAGGGAAGCTCGATAATGGAGAGAAAGGGGCTTGTCGTTGATCGACCATAACGACAACTGGATAGAAACCTCTGGATTGTCGTAATTGTTGCATCCGCTGTTTGGCATCTGTGTATGCTGCATAGACCTGATCGAATTCCTCAGTGTCAAATAATGAGTTCTCATCGATATTTGCAGCATCAAAGAAGATATTCTCATCCTTGTCCTGCCAGAGCGCTTCTTCTGGGTCATCAAACCAGTCCTCAGTGATATCTTCTTCAAAAAGGTTTGATCTTGATCCCAGCTTGCAATATCCTCAACCTCCTCATCCAATGTTGCATGAACAAGTTAGCGGGATTTCCATCGTCCCTGTTGCTGTAACGGATTCCGGCGTTGAGGCACATGTGCATGCTTATGATCTTGGCCAAAAATCAAATACAATGTTAGCTCAACAGCTGTCAACGTCAATGTTGAACCAATGTGAGTCTGAATCATCAATTATTGTTCTCTTGTCAATGCTGCCCGGCGTAGCATCTGCCAGCCCGAAACTTCCGGTGGCAACTCGATCTTGAACTTCTTCAACTTACGCAACGCTTGATTGAACTCACTGCAGTAATCCAACAACGGTTGACCTTGCTTACGAACCAGGCGGAAAAAGAAACGCTCGAAGGCCTCCGGCATCTCGACCCGCTCATCGTACTGACATTGGATATCCAGGCGACGGAGAATGACCTGGATTCCATCTTCCTTCTCTAATTCTGACAGCTTTAGGTCCTCATACTGTCGCCAGGCTATACCTTCCAAAACAGAAAGCACGTTCAGAGCTGTCTCACGGGAGCGACCCTGTAGCTTTTGACAATTAACATACAATTGAATGTTTTTTCTCCATTCCTTGTAATCAAATAGTCGTGCTGTCGAATCGAGGCACCAGGAACTTATCAGTGCTGCTGTAGTCCGTCGACTTCTCATCAATCGATGTCGGCATGGCGTCCGCACCGATGCCGAACCGCTCTTTGGCGGCTCCGCTACCAATGTGAAAAGCTGGGCTCAAGTACCTAGCTTAGGTCCTTTGTGTTCTAAATACGGCCTCAGCTCAAGGGCCCTGGTAGCCCATATGAACCAAGAAGCGGCGATATACGATCGTGGCATGAAATGCGGCGTATTCTTCACAATTATTTTAATAGAGAAAGATTTCATTAAAAAATGTCAATAAAACAAATATTATTATTTTCTTTAATTTCATTTTAATATATTAATAAATTAATGTTTTAGTCTAATCGCTAAATTGTTGTTATTTTGTAGAAATAAAAAATGTGTTTTAATACCGAAATATTTCATATTTTGTTTAGAAAAAACTTATATATATTAGAACCATAATATATTAAAAAAATCATCATTCATTCATTCATTCATTCAATAGAACACGTTCAAGGAGTCTGGTGTCTTTGTCGGTGGAGATGTGGATTGCACCTTCATTGCAGGTATACGAGTCTTTTGAAACAGCTGTTGACGGATCCTAAATGGGATGTTAGAATACCAAAAATCCTTTCCCTGGGTCTCTACACGTGGCAAAGTGCCAACTACCTTGTTATTTTCAAGGTCCTCCTCCAAAAGCAGAAGAGGCTGGAACGTCCTCTGTTGGTCATGGGGTCAGGTGATGTGAAGTGTGCCGAGCTGTTCGCACATGGTTGCCTGGACCCCTGTTGCTCCAGCTCGATTGCCAATGCTACATGTTGGCCAGACTCTCATCGATAACCGCAATTGGAAGTTCCATGTGTTCCTAATGTTGATCCATCTCCGCCGTGCAGCATTCATCTTCAAAACCTCGGAATATTTTCGTTTTCCGCATTGTAATCGATTGGCAAGACGTCATTTGCTTATAGCTCCAGGCTTGGAATCACTGTGGACAGGGCTACAAAGTCATCTGCCGCTGTTGAGATTATTAATGAATATCTTCATCAATTTGAAATTCATTAGACGAGATTTTCTTTATGATCCGCATTTTGTTCAGAAAGATCAACCGAACATCTCTTCCTTCCCAACGGGCAGGAACATCGAACAATTAAGATGGTTTCGTCCGACGAGGTCATAAATTGTCCCATTGGAACGTGAAGGCAAATCTTTATACCCAATAATACGGGCATAAACCCCGGATAGCACTTCAAGAACAAAATAACATAGCAAGAGCAGGAAACAAGCTTCGGACAATCAGCTCACGGCAAAAAAAAAGGCAAACAAGACCTAAATCATCTTATAACAGCATCTACGTCAAAAGGAAGCAAAAAATAACAAAGCGATAAAGGCACCCAAGAGCAAAATCAAGAACAGAGACAAGCTTAGGAAACACGGCGGCGGCAGCCAAGAACGAAATCATAAAAAGAAACAGGCTTAAGAGACCAAACAACGGTAGGCATTTAAGACAAGAGGAATAAATAAAAGATAACAAGTAATTATGATAGAAGTCCATAACGGCGTCAATGCGCACAAAGGGGCCTTAATCAAGGAAGGATCCCGCCCGGACGAACAGAATCAATTCTTACAACTCCTAATTATAACACATTTTTGCTAAAGCAGAAAATTCAACTAATAAATTTGGGAAACAATTAGCCACGATATTATATGCAACCAAATTTATAAGCCTGCTTACAGCCTCGATAAAAATTCCTTTTAATTTTTTAACATTTAAATAGATTCATAATTAAACCGTAACCTAATGTCGCCCATACCTCGTAAATTTTCGTGCCTAAACGAAAATAAAACGACTTAACAATAATATTTTCCCCACTAAACGAGGTCTCAACGATAATCTCGCGCCAAACATAAAGAATCCTTTATCATTGCTAAATTAAATCGTACCATATCCCCTAAATAATGGCTACCGAATTTAAATCTAAGATGGCGCTTAATCTTAATCTTAATAAATTAATATAATCAATATTTATATTTATTATATATATAATATATAATATATAATTCTATCAATTGGTAATATGAATTTAAATTCATTTTATTGTGTATCCAATATATTATATATTATATATTTGAAAGGATATTATTCTATGAATTATTCCTGATTTAGGATCCATTCGAATTATTTTGAAGAATTAATTTAATTCTTCAATCCAAAGTACGCCTCAATGGTCGAAATTATATTGAATTGATTCGATTTTACGAAATATGATCTAAGTTGTGTTGGTCGGTGTCCTTTTTCATATCAAAGTGAAGGTGTAATTGTCTGAGTATCAAGCGGTTGTCTTGAAGGTTGTCTTGATTGCGTTGGCTGTCTTGGTTGCGTTGATTGCATTGGAGCTGCTGCACGGCTCGCCGCAGCAACCTTCGAGGGCATAAGTGGCACCACTATGCCTGTATTCAAAAGAATTCGATGGAGATAATGTTTGGAAACACAAAAGGATACAGAAGTTGAACACCCCTCTGCAGAGTAAAGCCACAAGTGATCCATGCGCAGTTCATGTTTGCTTGAAGGCCAGTTTCCAGAATCATGAGGGATCTGAATATGGAAAGGAACTTCCATCCTCTGACAGAAATCTGTCTGCAAAACCATTACATCTTGCTCATCTTGCTATCCAGAATGGACGAAATCTGACTAGTCCAAATCGGCTCATCTTGGCTTGCTGGATGGCCCCTCCCATTTGTGCGCCTTGAGTGCATCACCGACGCTCTGGTAGACTTGCCCTGAGGGCGACCAGGGCGACAAATCCAAATGTACAGCGACCAGGGCGACCAAATGTGCAGGGTGCCACTGACAAATCCCAGCCTTGCTTGCCCTTGCCAGCGCCCTGGGGTCGACACCACAAGTTCTTGATCGCGTTTGTAAAGACGCCCTCTATTTGAGAGGATGCCATCTGCAAAAGGAAAATCACATGCAAAATGTGCACATGTCGCACCTTGGAACTGCCCTGAGCCTCAGCAATGAAATAATACAGGACCCCTGCACTGCAGTTGCAAGAACAGGGCTGGAGCATTCTCTGCAGCGACCATTGGCCTGGCCACAACATGTCTTAATTCGTTCGGTCAAACGGCAGTTGGCACGAGTCCAAGGCACCATCCAAGCCATGGAAACTCTGAATTGGAAAGAAAAACCTTGTCTTTACAAATCGAGACCGTAAATTAGAGCACGAAATGAAGAAAATCACTACAAAGGGCAATTCTAGAAATTGAAGCAGGGTGGGTTTTGGCTCATCCTTCGATCGTCACTGCGGACAAACGCCTATCGCAGGGAGAGCGGTTGGCGAGTCCATCGGCTGGAAAAAAACGAAAGAAAACTAAAACAAAATCATTTTTTGTCTAATAGCTTCTTGTTCCTAGCAGCACGGCCAGGAGCCCCTAGTAGTTTCTTGTTCCTCGTTGGTGTAGAAGATGTTGCTGGTGAAATTTGGCCGTTGAAATGTTGTCTTTAACACACAGTGGGGCGCAAAAAAGTCCGTCACGTGTCTCTTGTTCGAGTTCGTAGCACGCAGGGAAGCATGAGGTTGCGACATTGGTGGAGGTGAATGTCGCTGTGGCAGGGGGATTGGTGTGTGAGCGGGTTTTGAGGGGCTGTGATTGCGAAACTGCTCAGCAGGCTGGATGTATTCGTACGTGGGAGACTTCCCGCTTTGCTTTTGGACGAAGTCTCGCACAAAATGCCGGTTTTGAAGACTTGAGTCAATTTTTGAAGGCCGTTTCGCACGCAACGCTCGTTTTGGGCAACCAAGAAGACATTAAAGCCAACCTGGATGCTGCTCCAGGTGCTTTCTCACAAACTGCACAATACCAGTCCTTGGGCAAGCGACGAACATAGAAAGGGCGGTAGGAACAATAAGCTGCTAGTAGCTCCTGGCATTGCTACTAGGAACAAGAAGCTACTAGGAGCAAGAAGCTAGTAGGTTGGAGGCCATCGCTACTAGGGTGGAGGCCTTTACTACTTAGGAGCAAGAAGCTACCAGGAACAAGGGCATCGCTACTAGACAGGGCGGTAGGGCGGCAATTCGACTTGGGTCTGGACCCCCTCAGGAATCTTCTTCAATGGTGGACGGCAGCAGCCTAGGAGCGGTTGTTGGAGGAGTGGTGACATTAAAATAGGTAGAGGACAAATTTGTTGATTGCAAGAGTATTGCACTAGAATTCTTGAGAAGAATGAAAAGCAACTTGCTCGTCAGGGGCATTCATGGCAGTGGCTTGAGGGTGTTGTTCGGATCGGATTCATAGGCTCGGAATCTAATTGGTCAGATCGGATTCATAGGATCGGAATCTAATTGGTCAGATCGGAATCGCAGGAATGACGGGCACGTGCTAGGCAACACCATCCCGACCATCCCGACGGTCATCCTCACTGATCTCACGCAGGTCTCATCCATCCCGACCGTCCCGACCGTCCCGATCATCATCCTCACAGTGGTCACACAGGTCTCATCCATCCCGACCGTCCCGACCATCCTGACCGTCATCCTCATTGTTCCAGAGAGACAGAGAGAGAGAGAGAGAGAGAGAGAGAGATAAATAGATTGGACGGGAAGCCTACGAGAAAAAAATCCCGTGTGGTATTTTGAGTGCTTTTTGCGAGAGAGATGGACGTACATCACACTGGGCAACCACTTTTCGAGCGGACTGCACCGCTGCCAGGTGTCGGGACAGGCGGGTTGATGATACTCATGACCGAACCATTGTTGAATCCCTACGTCCCGGCTTTGCAACAACACGTACCACCCTTACCGCCGTTTCATCTGACCCCTCGTCACTGATGCAACGATCCTCCTCTTCTCCTCCTTTGTCATCCTCTTCTCCTTCTATGGTCCTCCTCTTCTCCTCCGCTTCTACTTCTCTGGTCCTCCTCTTGTCCGTCTCTGGTCCTCCTCTTCTCGGGATTCTCTCCTGCATACCCCATTTACCTCCTCTTGTCCTCCTTCGTCTTGGTGCGTTGGCGTTATCCCCCTGTCCTCTGCTGCTCAGTCGTATAAAAGCTATTCTTACTGTCGTTCTAACTGGCTGTGCACGGACTGTCCCGACCATCCCGACCGACCATCCCGACCGTCCCGCTAGAATCTGATCCTACAACGCTGATCCGGCCAATTAGAATCTGATCCCACACGCTGATCCCTGACGCTGATCCGGCGAAGTCGAATCTGATCCGGTAATTACCCGTGGCTGGGTGGCTTGAGACCCTGAAATATCCTATCACGATCACTGTCCGGAGAATGTGGTGCCGACCTCCCAAACTGCTCTTAGCAAGGTTGATTGAAAGGGTTTTTTGCCCATCCGCTTCACCTCTGCCAGAAACACGAGATAGAAAATGGAACAGAATTTCAGACCTACGATCTTTGACTTGTCTATGTTGCATAGGCTATGTACAGTAATTCAAGGTTGTCTCATGGTATTGTTGATGGACAAGTTCTCCACCACCAAGAGAGGTACCACTCACGTTCCTCTTCCAAAGTACTGAGAGAATAGTTTCTTCATCCTCCACGTCACCGTCATACAGACTAGAATGCCGCCAATCCAGAACTCAACCTCATTCCCATGGCCCTTGCACTGCCGCTTGGGGGAAAGGATGCACGGCGGGGGGGGTGGGCCAAAACCTATAGAGGAAGGAATCCCGCACATGTGCTGAGCAGCCGTCACAGGGGGTCAATGGAAACAAACATTGCATGTTTAAAGATCTGATCTCACCAATTCGCAGTGTTGGGGTCGACATGACTCATGTCATGAATTTCACTTTCTCTTCCAGGGACCCACACGCAGGTGCGTGGCTCGATGGCAGCCTCGTCCACCCAAGTCACACCTAGAGTAGCGAGGTCGATACTTAATCTCCGTGGAGGGTGGAGTGTAGGGGTAGAGATACCCTCCACGCATCCCACATGCGCCATGATCAGGAATTGCAATAGATAGACAGCACGGATGGTTCACAGGAGATTCAGCCACCTCAGTAGAGCGTAATAGGTTGTTCACTCGATGCGTTCTCCTGACATGAGTTCCACCTCGATGAACTTCTATCTTCTTGGCTTCTCCCCGTTCAAATCCCTAATCAGTCATGGAACCTCTGTAACCTCGTTCAACCTCTGCAACACAAAAATAGGAGAGTACTCTGCGGACACAGAATTCGCTGATTCGCTTCCTGCTCGCAGAATGTCCGATGCTTGCTTAGCTTGCGGCAGCAACAGCTCTTCCTGAGCTTGAACTTCTCATCGAATGGCTATGTTGTTGTCACTAGTTCAGAGGCAAGAGCCTGGCAGATTCCTGATCTGAGGCCAAAACAGGAGTGTCACCGAGGCCGCAAATAGAGCAATGCAGTGTGTGCCGATGTGGATTGACTCTGCATGCTTCGCAGTACCAATCCTTGAAAAAGTAACAATGTCATGGCTGTGGGATGTAAAACCTTGCGTTGGCTAAAAACACGAGTGCTCACAGGGAGAGATATTTACTGTAGATAAATTCTTCTCTGACACATGAACAAAGCTGAAGTCTGGCAGACCCAACAGGATGGTCGTATGGGGGCATAACTGCAAAGCCTGAAAAGGTAATCTCTGCAACTTGTCGCTGCAAACAACTAAGGCACGCACCCCGGCCGGGAGCTCCTTCACTCGTGGCCGGCAGCAGCCTTAGAGCACTCAGTGCTGCAATCAAAACTAGCGAGGGTGGCTTTGTCTCACTTGGGGCAAAACGCATGTGCGTAGCAATTCGACAGCCAGGTCCCATCATGCCACACCTTACAGAGCTGAAATGGCACTGGCATGAGTCACGGTAAGCCACCAACCTGCATATAGGACCACATTCGCAATGACCGCAGAAGATAAAGATCACCCCCGCATGGCCCGTGGTCAAAATCCGCCCGCACCGAAGGTGCTCAGGGCGTGATCATCCGGATGGCATCAACAACTGTAAGGTCAGGTTTACCTGGGGGGGACCCTTTTCGAGGCCAAAACCGTGAGTGTTTGATAGGTCGCGACGGCGGTATTAAAAAAATACTGTGTTTTACAGCACGGAATGGACTAGTTACCGTTTTCGCCCGCCCGGAATCGGCAAGATAAACGTTAAAAAACACTGAGCTTTTTGACATTTGGTCTTCGATTTTCGGCTTCAAGACGTTCTTTTTTTCATGTCTCTTGTCGGGCGGCCGGGGCACCAGATTTTGCGATTTCGGAGCTGTTTGGGCGACAGTTTTCGCCGTTTTTGCTGGGCAGAAACATTGGTTTTTGCTGTGTTTTTGTAAATTGTCTAGGCTTGACGTCTTTGCACGAAAACGTAAAAAACCTCGCAAATAGCAGCGTTTTTGGCGGCCACGTTGTTGAAAACGTCGCAAATTGCAGTGTTTTTTTGACAGCAGGTTCAAAAACACTGTAAATAGCAGTGTTTTGGGCCACGGCAAGCTCAAAAACATCGATATTTACAGTGTTTTCTCCCTCGCAAAGCACAAAAACACTGAAAAATACGGTAAAAAGTTGTGCTTTTGGCCACGGCAAGCTCAAAAACGTCGATATTTGCAGTGGTTTCTGCCTCACAGAACATAAAAACACTGTAAAATACTGTAAAAATAGCTGCGCCAGAGCGCTCAGGGGCCATTCAACCAGCGCGTCAAACTTCCAGCTGCAGGTTGCTTAACTGCTTGAGACTCCATCTCGTAAGTTACTCATACCTGCTCTTCCAAAAAATACTGGGATGTTCAACTCTTAACTGACTCATTACTCTTCATACCTGCTTTTGACCTCTCAGGGCCCTCTGCTCTCTTGCCGCTGATTAGCAGACTGTGGCTTAATGGAGGGGTTTGTAGAAACGGATTGGGGAGTTCAAGATTCTACGATGCCAATGTTTTGCTTCGCTGCTTTCGATCCAAAGCTGGACTCGCAATGGGTCATAGACTTTCATCTTCAGTGTTTCTACATCCCTCTATATATATATATCTATCTATTATTCTTTCGTGGCGGTGCGGGTGGACCTAGCCGCGGAGCGGCGTGAATATCTGGTAGAAAGGGGTTCTTGTGAACTGAACTGGGGCACGATTTCTTCCATCAGCCTATATAGTAGGCTATTGCTCTTGCAGGGCTGAGGCCTAATGGACACACTCGTCAGGCACTGTGAATTTCAAGTGCCGAGTCTTCGACATGAGCAGGCCTCCCTTGTCTTTGGTCTTAGTCGAACAAGCAGTCAATGTCTTCAGCGCACTTCACTCTTCATTCCAAACCAGAAAGTCACAACAAGGAACCACTGGATGAACGACTGTGTACGGTGCAGAATCATCTCTGCCACATTCAGAGCACAAGGTCCTTGGCCGGGTGGGATTGGAGAAGCAATCTTGCATATTCTTTTGCTTGAGCCGCTGGCCTGTTGGCAGGAGTCGGCACCTTCAAGGCAAAGGTCAAACGTCCAAGGAGCTGAAACACGTGGCATCAATCTCTTACAGGCGCGCTGGATCAATAATCCTTGCTCCTAGTAGTAAGGCCAAGAGCCCCTAGTAGCGAACCTTGTTCCTAGTAGTAAGGCCCACCCCTTTTGGGAACGACATCTCTGCACATCTCTGCACCTCCGGTATCTTCCGCACCACGGGCGTTGCGCTGGCGCTGCGTGAGCGCGAGGGGCTCCGCGAAGGGCTCCGCGAGGGGCTCGGGCTGCTGGCGGTGCTCTCACTGGTGGCCGAGGTGGCAAACGCCCGTGACGCCCCCTTCGCCTGCGCAAGCTGACGAAGCCATCCAGCCAATTTTCACTATTCTAGATCACAGGCGTATATAATGTGTGAACCCTGCAAGGCCTTGACATGCTTGTTGTTGCAAAAACGTTTTGTACTGCCATTTCTTTAAATTCACACTCGGATTTCAATCACTGTCAGCAGCAAGGCCTTCGCTTGTGGACGACCTCGTGAGGTCCTGGTATCTGGCTCTTCTTTGATCTTGGCCCAACAGAAGCAATCAATAAAGATTTGCTGTGCTCCGTTGGGAAGTATCCGGAAAAGTCTATGATACAGTCGCTCGACTAGGATCTGAGCTGTTTGAATGGACTGCACGTCTTTGCGGCCTTTCTTTGCAGCAGCTTTGGCAGCTGCTGACGGCCGCGTTTCATCTCTCTCTTCCTTGACCTAAGATGCGATTGTGACCGGACTACACAAATAGGACGAAGAACGTCCAAAAAGCTTCCAGTTTCGGTGCCTCAAAAAAGCTGCCTTGGGCCATCGTCACCGTGCGAGGCCCATGTCGCCAAGTCACCGTGACCGGCTTCACCGGCAGCTTTCGTGTTGCTTTCCGTGCTTCTTTGCGTGCTTCTTTGCGTGCTTCCTTCCGCGCTTTGGCTTTGCTCGTCTCCCTTTCCGCCTCGGACGCCTCAGCTCAGACGGGATGCCAACCCGAAAGTCATCAGTTGACACATGTCGATACATAGCGTCATATCTCGGACCACGAAAGCAAATTCCCCCTGAGCTCGCCGCAGAAGCATCAGCGTCCGAATCGTGGGCTTCTGGTGGCTGTGATGGCTGTGATAGCGTTGGATCTTCATCAATCCAGATCTGCGTGTGGAGATGTGGGAGATCGCCACGCGGCTTGCTGAGTGTGATCTGAAGAACCCAAAGCCAAGGGAATGGCTAGTATAAAAGAAAAGTTAGAATTTGACAACAGAAAACGCACTGAGTGAGCCCCAGGTGAGTCCATCTATGTCGTTGTACATAAGGTGAAGCATGGGTTCATTTCCATGCACCTTTTGTGATCTTACATTTGGAGGGGATCACATAAAACAAGAGCAGGAAAACAACTGCCCCCGCCCTGGCCTGCTGAGATTTTTGGAATCTCTTGCATGAAGGACATTGAGGACCATCGGCTGGGCCGCATCGGCCTGAAGTGGATGAACTTCATTCAAGTGCACGATTTGGTAGCTGGATTCCCGCAAACCAGCAACTCTCAGAATGGATATTCAAATATCTGCAAGTGCAATCTGTGCTTCGGACCGTCCGAATCCGGGATTGCTTGGACTCCTCAGCGCAAGACTTCGGCACGGCTGAGCGATCCCTCCACCACTGACCCTCTGAGCGCATCACCCAATACCCGGCCACAATAGTAGTTGCCACGGAAGCCTGCACTTCAAAGTACAGCCAAAGGCTTTCAAGGACCAAAACATATTGCACACACCATGAAAACTTGACATTGGCCTTACCTATCTTTCCGAGTCAAACGTGTCATCAACTAGTGTTTCCAAGTCAGTTCCTTCATTTCGTCCACTTCTGTGTGCCCATCTGCTTATTTGGACCCGGCTTGAAACCTACAAGCTCAGTGTTACAGTTTTGTATTAACTCTCCTCTACCAACGAAAGTGTGGCCATAGCCACATCTCCCCCCACTTCTAGACTTCTTGCCACGCCTCGGCTGATTCCAAGTTGCAGTTGGCATCCCTCATCATTGACATAGTATGCCTGTCGGCAGCAGATCAACTCCAAAGAGTCCAAAAGATGAAACACCGGTGGTAGTGTCCTTGGGTGAATCTACAGTAGTTGCCTACTGTCATCCTCTCCTATTGGTCTTCACAGCTGTTCCTCTCCGTTCAGCCAGTTGGTAGCAATTCACTTGGACTCTTATGTTCTCATGACTCATAAGACTCTGGTTTTCATTGCAAAAACCACCTATGTACTAATACACCCAATGGTTCCAGCTGCAGGTCCCCGGCTCCTTAAAGGACCTCGTTTCAAGGATCCCATTCAACTCCGGACTCCACTCTGTAAGTTAGTTTCATGCCAGCTTTGCCATCGCATGCTAGTATGCCTCACATTCTAAGGATGTGGCTCCTGCAAACGCTGACATGATGGACATTGAGGCCTCATCGGCTCATCAACTAATTGCGCCAAAGCTTTCTCTGTACCAAAGAGAACTCATGAGGAGGCCATCGCTATTAGGTGGAGGCCATTCCAAGAGAACTCATCAAAAACGGCCCAAGAATCTGTGGCCAAGTCACTCCTAGCCCACTGAGCAACCGGGCCCTTCCGTCGGCCCGCACTGCCCACCACTTCCTCAATTAAAAGAACGGGTGGATTCCTTTATGGTCTGCTGATGGTCTGATGTCCCAAACGTTGTCCATTCACAAGGGAATGTGGTCAACAGTGTGTCACTGGGAATCTGCTGGTTCATTCAGTGGGGCTCACGTCAACCATGATCAACCCCTCAAAAAACAAAGAAACCAGGAAGTGCAGAGTGTGCAGAGCTGTGTTTGTTGCCCAACTACTTAGCAAGTGTCCCTAAAAATCTAGGAACCAAATGAATATAGTGCGTGAGCTATCCTGCGTCCTACCCAGGAGCTAACTTAGCCTAGTAGCTTACCTCCCTTGCTTAATCAAGTAGGGAGCGGGCCGTAACAAAACAAACAAGGTGAGAAAAATGCAGAGGCCGGAGTTGGTCAGAGCACAGCGGACTCGGGTTCGGACCGGCAACGACTCCTGGCCTGCGCACTTTCACACTCGAGTCACCACCTCATTAAAATGGATAATAATATGACACAAAATAAAAAGCACCGGCGAATCTTGTGCCCAAACAACTCCTTGCCGTTCGATTCCGAGCAACTACTTGCAAACCAGCAGGAACGAAGTGAAACCGGGGCCTTCCACAGTAGAATTTGTAACCTCAGTCGAAGTCCAGGTCCACCGAGGGATGGTCGGTAAGGACCGCTTTAACTTTGTCCATACCCAGCAACAACTCTGCTAAGCAACAGCAAGTTTCACAGATGCCTGCATGACAATTATGAGAAAGTAGGAATATCTTCTTTGAAAAGCAAAATGATATCCAATTGTGTGGATCCCACGCCTCACTGTCACACGCCTTTCTTGTTAAACAGTGATGCTAGGTGCAGGGCAGGATTTCACGTGCGTACTTCGCTTGACAGGGAAGCCATCGTCATTCAAATCAGGCTGCCAAGCATGTGAAACATGACAAAGTCACAGTCACTAGCACGAGGTTTAGCAGGAGTATGCCAAGAGTTGAGAAGGAATCTTGCTTCCTGGCCTCGTAGTACTTCTGAAATAACGCACAGGAATGGCACTGAGGCCTTACTAAAGTGACACAGAAAGTGGCTCAAAGCAATGGAATCGTCTTGGTCTTTGGCCCTCCCTCGGGACCACATTGATCAGCAGCTCCAGGCACCTGGGCAAGAGGATAAAGAGAACGCCAGAAATCCCATGGTTCCTGCCCTTCCTGCCCTTCCTATATGAATCATCATGAATCCACCAAACTTGTATATAAAGAAAACTAACAAGGCCTGCGGGAGGCATCCTCAAGAAGGCCGTTAGGCTGAGTGATGTCAACTTGGAGGAAGGGTACATCTCATGTGTCCAGGTCTTTCATCCTAGGGGCATCAGAAGGATCCAGGATGCGTCCACAGTACCACCTGAACACGAAGAGCAATTGCAAGCAAGCAGCTACAGTAGTAACATTCATCGGGTAAGAGAACATGAAACTGAGGCCTTCCACGGAAGCCAGCATCTGTTCCAAGCCTACCCAATCATTGGAAGCGAATGGTCTCTTCCAGACTCTAGTGGAAAGGAGTCAGTCTATGAACTACCCAACCCACAACTTTCCTTTTAAAGCAACCAATGTTTGCCATATGCAGCTCGCACCTCACCATGAAACCATCAGAATTCATTGGAACCTCACAAAGCACGCACAAACACTGGGGTCGCAAGTTCTGTTCACAAACGAAGAAGATTGTCACGGTCACGGTCAATGTCGGGGTCGGTCACTGTCTGGTCTCGGGGATTGAAGAGATCGGCCTTGCCGTGCGAGTAGATCGGCTGTGTGAAGAGTGAGCTTGATGTTGCCGGGTGCGATGAAGGTGCTTCTGCGGTCCTTGCAGTCTCATGTCAGGTGGCACAACATGTTATATCTCAGCAAAGGCACGTCCCAAGGTTCATCCTTTGAAATGAGATGGGCAAGAGTTCTTCCCCCACAAAGGACCATGAAATTCGACCTGTGCCGCAGCCCTGCAGGTTTCAGCTATCCATATTATCCATCCCCTATTCCTTGAGCTCCATGTTTCAACTCATCGAGCAACCGGAGCTCCGCTCCTCTTTGCCCAACCGGATGCTGGGCGCCAATTAGAGGTCGCCCTAAGCCGGCTCAAGAATAGGGGCGGCAAGGTCAATGGTGCACGTTTCAGACACGAGTGAATGAATGAATGAATGCATGAATGAATGAATGAATGAATGAATGAAATGAAATGAAATGAAATGAAATGAAATGAAAATGAAGTGAAGTGAAGTGAAGTGAAGTGAAGTGAAATGAAATGAAATGAAATGAAATGAAAGAAATGAAAGAAATGAATGAATGAATGATTGAATGAAATGAATGAAAGAAATGAAAGAAATGAAAGAAATGAAAGAAATGAATGAATGAATCAATGAATCAATGAATGAATCAATCAATCAATCAATGAATGAATGAATGAATGAATAAAGAAATGAAAGAAATGAAAGAAATACAAAGAAATGAATGAATGAAATGAAATGAAATGAAAGGAAATGAGCTGAAATGAAATGAAATGAATGAAATGAAATGAATGAATGCATGAATGCATGAATGCATGAATGCATGAATGCATGAATGAATGCATGAATGAATGCATGAATGAATGCATGAATGAATGAATGAATGAATGAATGAACCATGAATCAATGAATGAATGATTGAATGAATGAATGAAAGAATGAATGAATGAAATGAAATGAAATGAAAGGAATGAATGAATGAAATAAATGAAATGAATGAATGAATGAAATAAATGGAATGAATGAATGAATGAATGAATGAAATGAAATGAAATGGACTGAAATGGACTGAAATGGACTGAAATGGAATGAAATGGAATGAAATGAAATGAATGAATGGAATGAATGAAGGCATGAATGCATGAATGCATGAATGCATGAATGCATGAATGCATGAATGCATGAATGAATGAATGAATGAATGAATGAGTGAATGAGTGAATGAGTGAATGAATGAGTGAATGAGTGAATGAGTGAATGAGAGTGAATGAGTGAATGAGTGAGTGAGTGAATGAATGAATGAATGGGGGAAAAACAAAAAACAAAAACGTGTTTATAGAGGTCCAAAGTCAAAAACAGAAATAGTGAACGCAATGAAAGAAAGGGAAAAACTTGGTTCTTCCAGCTTTCTTAGCTTTTGAGGCTACATGTCTGTGGACCAGGCGTCCTGCGACGCCGAGCAGCTGGCAGTGTGGCCTGATCAGGCAAGCAAAAATGTGATCACTGCAAGACACATCAAGCTTTCAACCAACTGCAGACTTTCATCTTCCAAAATCTACCTAGGGGCTCCTGGCCTTACTACTAGGAACAAGAAGCTACTAGGGGCTCCTGGCATTGCTACTAGGAGCAAAGACGCTACTAGGGGCTCCTGGCCTTACTACTACTCACAGGTTCAGTTGAGTGAAACAACATGAAACAACTCTTGTCGATGGAGGTGATTGCTCAATGTTGATTCGCCCTTAAGCTCGGAGCCGTCCCTGTTCGACTAGCTCGACGTTTCCGGCCGGGGGTGCCTGAGGCTGGTGGGGGCACGTTGGCAGACCCGTTGTCTCGTCACCAGGGACAAATAGAGACCTTTATAAGGCCTGAACCATCAGGAAATTCATTCGGCCTAAGTCATCAAATACAGTGCACAGACACATGCAGAAGAAATGTGAAAACATAGTGGAAATGAAAATTGTACTGTCTTTGGCCATGTATATAGAATCATGTCAGGTCATTGACTGATTGGACTTTTTGTTCTTCTCATCATTGGCTTTGGACTTTGCTTCCGCTGGCGCTTCTGGTGGAGGCTCTGCCTCGAACAAGAACCGAAGCCAAGGAAGGCACCCTCCAAGACAAAAGTCCTATACATATATATATATATCAATAATTGGGGGGCAAAGAACCCAGTTTGTTCACAATGAAATGTTCGTGTGCAAGGCACAGCAGCCAGCACCCTTTGCTTGGATTTGACACAAACATCTTCACATGGCGTCAGAACATGATACCTTTGATTGACCAAACGACGACCACCCAAGAATAGCTTGAAAGGGGATGAACGAGAGGCAAGCTAGCAGCAGCTGCCATGTGCTGTGCTGGATGCACAACACCAAGAACCAAAGTACAACTGGGGGGCCCAATGACAACTAATCCTGACTTAAAGATCTAGATTCAATCCAACACACGTCGCCAGTACTGTACATCCCTGCTAAAGCAAGGATCAACTGGCCAAGATTCCCATGGGAAGAGCATGCCAATCTCAAGTCGCCATAGCTTGCAAGCCCTGTCAGATCTTTGTAGAGAATCCCTTTTGCCACTGAGTGCTTTGAGTGGCAAAGCTCTCAACATGCCCTGACAGATTTGGTGTGCATGGATCACCTGCTGCTAATGCTGTGCTAGCAGCTGCGAAGCATGACAATTGCAAGAGAGTGGACATTTGATAGGTTCAGTTGCGCCAGTAGTTTCCCATTGCATAGACTCCGAAATACAGGAGAAGGAGGATATACAGTATATTCAAATGCTCTCTTTGTTTGCAAGTATTCAAGCATCAAAGTCGTCTTTTTTGGCGCTTCTCTGGTCAAGTCGGCAACCGAACAGCTCCATCGTCATATCTCTATTCATTTGCTGACCAAATATCTCCAATTGTGTAACCTTGAGGAAATGGATCACTGGGATCACAAACAATTTCACATCGCTGCGTGATCCAAGCACGACCTGAAATCCGTGGGACCACAGCGTGCACCGGAGCAGATGTTGGTCCGATGGTCACCTGAGGTACGGCCAAAAGTGTGGCTTTTGGGAGGGTTGAATGGTTTGGACTGGTTTGGACTAGGTTTGCTTGGTTGAAGCTGACTGACCTATGGCACCTGCACCATTTTTGTCGTTCTGAAACCCGCTCAATTTCATGTACACCAATCACTCTATCAATCTGACCAATCCTCACCTCCTCAAGAAGTTCTCCCACGAAGTGAGTTCCAAGAATGCTCTCGTGAACAAATTCTTCCGATAGTTCAAGCCCGCCCCGAGCGTGCAGCTGTGCCATTACTGCACATGTGCCAGTTCCACACGGAGAACGGTCAATCATTCCAGTCCAGCTATCTGGGTTGTCCCAACTCAGCCTGCCATTTGACATAACCACTGCATTCTTGCCCAGCATCTTTCCCTGGTCCTTTCGTTGCAAGTCTGTGAAGACCAAAATATCACAACCTGGGTAGTCAAACTCAGGATGATTCACTGGATGCTGCTCTCTACAGGCAACCTTGATCATCTCCCCCAATCGGCAAATGCGACGTCCGTTGTGGGGCAAAAGCTCCAAATCCAACTTCTTGGCATCCACGATGGCATAGAACATCCCACCATAGGCAATGTCCAGCTTCACAGGCCCAAGCTCGGGGACATCAATTTCCACATCCATGTCCTCGGGTTGTGCCGGGGCAAGTTGTTCAGCCAAACCCATAAGAACCGAATGGGAAAAGCTTGCTCAAAGACGCAAAAAGCTGCTACGGAGGCACCTAGTTTCTTCTGGACGACAGAAAGAAGGAACATTTCGCAAGGTGATTTCTATAGCCTTTCCCTCACGGCACTGAGCTTGGATTCCGACCAATCCAGCAGGCGTCTCCAAATCAAAGGTGGTCAGGGGTTCAACCATTGGTACCATCCCAGTTTCAAGCAGGGTAGTGGCAACGCACATCATGTTATGTCCACTCATTGCAGGATAAACATGTCCTTGCTCTGCAATCACCACGCCAAAGGCAGCAGTGCTTTTCCCAGTGGGAGGAAGGACAAAATTTGCATTTTGACATGGATACCCTCGTGGCTCCAAGAGCAAAAGCCTTCGAAAGGCATCCAAATCAGGCTGCATCATCCTCAAACGCTTCTCCGCCATGGTCGCCCCAGAAACATCTGGCAGTCCTCCTATCACTACACGTGCAGGCTCTCCAGCTGCGTGACAGTCAATGCATTGCAACTTGCGTCCCGCTGCTCCCCATCCCTCGAACTCTAGAGGCTTGGGCGTCCCGCTGAAGCCCCGTGTGTACGCAGTGGCCATGCGTGTGCCACACAAGCGATGCAAGGTCAACAGTCCATGACGCCTCATGGCTGCTGTAGAATGCAACAAGGTGAGCCAGATTTCGTGGGTTTCGACATATAAAAACGAATTCGGACCTGTAACGTTAAGGGAACAAAATCGTTGGGTATTGCATAGGTCTGTTGATGGCCAGTGGCTGGACACTTTCCTTTGGCACCGCACAGCAAAGAAAAGCCACCGGAGTTGAGACCTTGGATGCTTCTATATATTGATGGATCCTGCATTCAGTGCATGGATTGATTTCGGAATTTGCTTGAAGTCAGCGGACTGCAAATGATGGAATCAGTCTGGTTTCAGGAATGGTGGGCGTAGAAGACTTACACAGAAACCATTCAAAGTAAAGTCCTCAACCTCAAGCTACCTCGCGAGGTAGAACAAGAGTTTGTGATCGGCATCATAGGTCATTTTAGTCTTTTCCAGCTACAGCTGGCGGCAAATCATCCAAGTCCATACTGGTGTTGAAAGCACACTTGGTGCTGGATGAGCACTTTTTGGACTCAAGCGATTTTCAAGCATTCTAAGTCTAGTGGTCCTCACTTTGACCATCTCTCGCTTATCCTGCAAGACATCACAAGGACACACTTTTCTAGCAAACGGTGCTGTCAATCACCTACTCCAGATTGGTCCCCCCAGACCGGGCACACGGGCACATGGGCACAGTTATCATCCACGGGTTCAGGGGCACATGTAGACATCATGATGATCCTTCAAATCACCATCATGATTACCATCCTCATTCTGGTCATCATCATCATCATCATCATCATCATCAACATCATCATCATCATCATCTTTTTGTTCTTTCACTTCGCCCTCAACTGCTCGAGGTTGCGTTGACCCCTTGACCATCTAGGAGAGTCTACTGCTGTTCAATCCACGTATGGACTTCAGTCGAAAAATCCAGAGCTGCATGGACAGGTCAGAGGTTGTATCATCACCACCACCACCATCATCATCATCATCATCACCGTAGAAGCATCATCATACCAAAATCATGTCCACCACTTCCTCACTATCATCATCACCTCCATCATGTTTGCTATCATCATCATCCTCATCGACATACTCATTTTCTTCGACACCATCACCTCGCTATCACTGTTAACATCAGTACAGTATGATCAAGTGGTGATGATGATGATGATGATG